AAAGCTCAGGAAAGTTGACTAAATAGTCCTTAGTTGGAAAAGGCTTGCAGAAACTCTGCACCCAACATGCACACACTTCTGGTTTTGTTTAAAGCCATCAATGTAATGAGGGTTATTATTCTTAGCTGACACAGCATGGATATTAGGCAATCAGACCCCGAAGGTGGATGCGTATGAAGAGCTGGGGAAACCAGCTGCTCATGGGGGTGGGAAAGCTGAATGAAGGAAATAATTAGTTTTTGGAAAGATGATATTTAGAAGTTAGTTGAAAAGGCTGATAAAAAATAAAACAGAAAAGGCTAGTAGCAGTTACGGGTCTGGGATTCACTTCACTTACAAGTGGACAGGCTCTCATTAATATAATGTCTCTTTATGTCAGGCCGTGATGTATCCGAACCCCAAGGAAATGATCTGCTGCTGCACTAGAGAATATATTTTAAGAATTTATATTTTTCTTTTTAGAAGAAATCATTCCATTTGGGATCTTTCGAAGCTTGGTACCAATGAGAACCAAGTACCCATACAAAAGAGGTTGGAGGTGGAAGATAGTTGAGGGACTCAGAATTGGTAAAAGGGGTCTCATTTCTTCTTAGCCTTCAATGAAAGTTCATTTCTAAATTGCCTTTTCTCTAATGGGAGCCCTATTTTGTCTGACCTCCAGAGAATTTTTCCACAGAATCAAAATAGTATTGTCATCAGCTTCCTTGATAGTTGATTCTTTTCCTTTTTTTTTCCCCAGGAGGAAAGAATTAAAAAAGGAATAAAGTAAGTGTATAAAGATGAAACTCTAGACCTGCTTCAGCCTGAGTCTGGGAAGCAGCACAGCAGTGGAGAGAAGGCTGGCTTTGAGTCCAGATGAGCCGTACTCTAATTCCAGATGGGCCTCTTAACATCGGTGTGGACTTGGGCACACTAATCAAGCCCTCTGAGCCTGAGTCTCCTCAGGCTGTAAAACGGGATTAATAGTATCTACTTATATGAGACGATGGACAGAAAGTTTCGAGTACACAGCAGGCGCTCAATGAAAAGGTAGCTCTGTTGATCCTTTGCACCTCCCTCCTCCTCTCCCTCTGCTCCCATCAGCATCCTGAGGACATGCCCTTCCCCTGGCTCTGCAGGCTGCCCTCCCTCTCCCCTCACCTGTGGCGTCCCGGCAGTCACAGCACTCCTGGGCACCGGTGGGATCCGAGGCATTGCAGCAGCGCAGGCAACGACTGTCATCCACGTGCAGCAGCAGGTTGGCGGGGCACACGGTGCAGTTCTTGGTGCCGGGGCCCTTGCATTCTATGCAGCTCTCATGGCATTTTTCACAGTTAAATGTCTCCCCCTGTTAAGAACAATCAGATTTCTTTTAAGTGTGGAGAAACTCTCAAGGCATCGGAGTTCCCAGACGGGAGTTTCCTCTCGTCCGGGGAAGGAAAGGAGGCAGGTGGAGGACAGCAGAAAGGTAGTTTGTTTTGGGTCCACTTTAACTGCCCTGGGTGAAAGACAGAACCAGCTGTTTACACTTGGACGGAGCCATTGCTGGGCCTTCCCCTCTGAGATCGGCTGGAAACAACAGTGAGAGAACAAGCTTCTAGAATAGCTCAGGTTACAAACTGACAGCCCACATGCTGCTGTACCTGGTCAAGGACAAGTTCTGTCTGGCCCATTCCCGGCTGGCTTTCATGGTTTAAAAAAATTTCAATTCTTTGCTGACATTTCAATACTGGGACATTTCACATGTAAATCAGTCCCGAGTTTCTCTTTAAAAACCAGGAGACTTGGCAATGCTAGCTAGGTCCATCGCTCCCACATCGCAGGCAGAGCTGAGTGCTGGAGGCCCTCTCCTTTGTGCTTTCCTGTTTGATACAGTTCCCAGCACTCGCTCTGACGTAACCAGCACACAGGTGAAACGTCAAATCCCACCTTTGGTCAAGTTTGTGTTGGGGTTTTCTTTGACCCAACACTCCTCACTCATTGACATGACATGCTTTGTCTCTGTGGTTATTAGGTTCTTGTGTCCCTGCCCCCAGAAAAATATAAACTGTGACTGTTTAGCTAAAGCAGTGACATTTCGATGGAAAAATCATTGAGAGAAAGTGGCTTCCCTCCCAACAAGCTGCTGCAGTGTCACTGGTGCTGGAGATGGAGATGAGAGAAGATACCTTCCTATTTCACTTCTGCCCTTTGGAAGGCTAGTCTCATAGAAAAAGAAGGAATGGAAATTGCCACTTTTGAGCGCCTTGGCAAGTTTCAGATGCTGCTAAGGTGCTTTCTCAGCTGTGATCTCATCAAATCCTGGATCAGGAGTCAGAACCCCTGGTTCAGTCCCAACTTCATTTACTACTCACGTGATCTTTATCAAATTACCGTTATTTAATGGCTCAGATCCTCAGTGTCTCCAAAGTGTAATGAGAGCTCTTGTCAGAATTTAAAGAGAGTGACATGTGAATACGCTGGGTCATGTGAGTTTTACCATGGAGAGATTTACTTAATTTCTAAAATTCAGGAACACAGTCAAGAAGTTAGTAGACTCAGAAAATCCATGGTTTCTAGGCCAGCAAATGAAATATATTTCTTTTAATACATTGCAAAGGGGTGGAGGAGAGGATGGACTTATTACATTGGTTGTGTAGTTCTGACATTACTCAGGCATTTCAGGTTAGACAGCAGAGGGGTAGGAGAGAAAATATTTCTTATTTCTGACATACTATTCCTACATAGACCTGAAACTTCTCAGGTCATGAGCAATGTATGTAGGTCCTCATTAAATAACTTCCCAAATACTTATCTCAGCTTGTCTCAGTTCCTTTAATTGAAATGAAGGCTACAGGTGGGTAGCACCATTATTCCACAATGCAGTGGTAGAAGATGTAAAAATACTAAACCTGCACTATAGTGAATGTAGGAACTTCAGGACTTTTTTTGGACTTTGCCCAAAATGACATGCAGAAACTAGCTCATGTCCTTCTGTAGAAAAGGCGGAAGGCACACCACGCCCAGCTCTCCGTACCTCTCCCACTCTGTACTCCCCGACAAGACAGTCTGAGGTGCAGATTCCTCCCACCAGGTGGTAACTCCACACACAGGATAAGCAATTCAATGCTCCTTTTCCTGAAAGGAAAAAAAAATTCCACATCGTGAGACTGACCTTAGATTTCAACCTCTGTCTTCGATCCAAAATACTTAGGAGCAAGGAACATGTCAAGTAAATTGAAGTAGAAGGGTAAATTGATTGAGGATATGGGGGGGGGGGAGTCTGTAAGATACTAAGACCTAGCAATTATCCAATTAGTCTAATCAATGTAAACTCTTATTTTGGAAATTAAAGGTTTGGAGATCTTCTATTACAGCAAGAAGAAAGATTTTCAGAGAATGAGAAATCATGTAGAAAGTTTAGAAAACCTTTATTTATCATCTGCTTGTTATTTAACTAGTATAGAGGACGAAGATGATACCAGCCAATTTGCAGGGTCCCAAAACTTGATGAGTAATTCATGAATGGGCCGTTCCTAACTGAGAAACAATACTAGACTTGGAATTTAAAATGCTAGGGCTGAAAGAATTTAGTAGATCATTTGTCCAGTGGTTCTTAATTTGGGGGATTGTTGTAATAGATTCCTTTGAAATTCTCTTGAAAGCTGCAAGCTCTCTTCTCAGAAATGTGACACTGTATTTATTAATTTTTTTAATAAATGAAGACTAATTCCCAGACATGTGAAGTCACTCATTCAAGGTTATATAGGTAATGGTTGAGTCAAGAGTCAAATTCAGGTTTGTTGACTGACAGTACAGTGTGCTTTGATCATACCATCTGCCTTTACACATGAACCAAGTAGAGGAGGTCTGACCAGACAGACTCTGTTGCCTGTGGAGGTAATACCCTTCTCTCTTAATTCAGAGACCCCAGGTATGACTGACTTAAGCATTTCTTTCTGTGCAGATATCAAGGGATGACTTCTGGAAAGAGCTTGGGGACTGGATACCTGAGCTCTAGTTCATTGCATTAGGAAGACAGGCCTTGGTGTTCCTGCTGAGAATTTCAAACAGGAGCAGGGCAGTAGACGGAGCGTGGAATGTGCCTGGTATTGTGAGTTGAAACTTTATATAATTTGGCCTTTCCATCAGAAGACTATCATAAAGAGTGGTTAGTTGAACTTGAACTAGAATCATTCTTACGTTCACTAGGGATTTAAATCCACTTTTCATTTCTGATCTGTGAGCTCGATCACTTACGACGCTTCTACGAAAAATGAATTCTGAGTTCTGAACAACAGCTCAGATAATAAACCTTTATTACCCTACTTCTCTTTAGTTTGGGGGCTGCCTATGGTGATATAAATTCAAAGCCATTCTATTTTTATCTTACCTCTGGCTTCATACAGAATCTTCCACATATTCAGGAACACAATTATGATCTCTGGTGAAAGAGTCAATCTTTCCTTCTTTCCTTCCCTCCCTACAGGTTTCTAAAATACAGTTTAAATGTCTTAGTCTAATTTTAAAATGCAAAAGTGTGGTGTATTTTTTTTTCCCTTATGAAGAGAAATTAAAGGTAGGAAAAATTAAAGGAGGGGAAAGGCAGTAAAAAGGTTAGGCCATGAAATTTGTTTCTTAAGTTTGGTTATATTTTCCAGAAGGCCAGCAGCGATTTGGCGTAGCTCCTGGGCAATCCCCAAAGGCACTATCTGTCACCTCTGACAAATCAGGGCTCCATTTATGTCACCTACACTGATTTATTGCAAAATCTGTATACGTAGGGCACTCTGTATCTTTTGCAAAAGTAGTCTGTTAATTTCCAGAATGTTTTCTGACTTTTTTTCAAGTTTAACACCTTTCACTTATCATTGTGTCTAAGGATCTGCAGGAGCCTTGGGACCTATAAAGACAGCTTTGGCATTTCCTTAAAATCCAGAACAGCTCATCATGTGCTCTCCCTTGGACTGATCCCCACGGGATGAATTCAACCATGCAGGGCAACCCCTGGGATCTGTCCGCGGTGTCCTTCCACACCGGAAGAGAGAGGCAGCTTGAGAAAGTTAAGAAGCTTCAGTTACCCAGCCTGGATTTTTATTTAAAAGCATTTTGTAAGGAGGATAAATAAAAGGTTAAATGCGTGAAGGCAAGGAAAGAGCTAATTACAGAGGAATCAGCTGCATACAAAGATACATATTGGTCCTTGGTGTGCTGCTCTCCCCAACCATCTTGGTTCTTTTAAGTATTTTTTTTAACACCCTAATATTATTGGGTAGTCAAATGTGAATGAAATACAATCTAGTTGGTAAATTACTTATTTAATTTGCTAAAATTTCCCTGTATCTCTCATGCATCCTCATTTCTTAGTATGACAACTAATATTTTAATAGGGAAGGAACTCATCCTTTATTTTTTCACCCAGTTTATAACTCAAGAGAAAACCTATCCTGAAATTTTGTAATCTATATACTGCAAAATCAGAAAGCAGCAGATTCGCTAACTAGCAAAGGATGTGTGTGGTAAATGAAGAAAGGATGGAAGGAAGGAACATATAAGATGGAAAGCATCTACCAGGGACATTTGGGATTCAAGTCCAATATAGGAGGGAGAGGCACAAATACTTAGGATGGCTTTAAGATTCACCCAGATATGCCTAATCATTCCTGGAATACAATCTTAGGGAGACTGTGCTGATGAACGTTATTTTTTTTTTAAGACTATTTTTTTTTAAGAGCAGTTTTAGGTTTACAACAAAATTGAGAGAGAGGTACAGAGATTTCTCATCTACCTTCTGGCTTCATACAGGCATAGCCTCCCCATTATTGACATCACTCACCAGAATGGTACTTTTTTTTTAAATCAAAGATGAACCTACATTGACATATCATGATCACCAGAAGTCTATCATTTAGGTGAGAGTTCAGTCTCGGTGTTGTACATTCTATGGGTTCGGACAAATGCATAATGACATGTATCCATCATTATAGTATCATACAGAATATTTTCACTGCTCTAAAAATCCTCTGTGCTCTGCCTATTCATCTCTCCCTACCTCCAACACCTGGCAACCACAGACCTTTTTATTGTCTCCAGTTTTACCATTTCCAGAATATTGTATAGTTGGAATCATATCGTATGTAGACGTTTCAGAGTGTCCTCTTTTACTTAGTAATATGCATTTAAGGTTCTTCCATATCTTCTTATGGCTTGATAGCTCACATCTCTTTAACAATGAAGAGTATTCCCTTGTCTGAATGTATTGATGAATTTTTGAGACCGAAAATGCTCAAAACCATCATTCTTAATCCACCCAGGAAATCCCAAACCCAATTACAGAAATTTATAGTTTTTCAAACTGTGCTAACATCACTAAAAGTTTCTCCAGTCCCCACAAAAATCTTAAAAAGCTGATGTTGTCCTGTTTTGACTGACTGACTTAAGAGACATTAATTTATGCTTGCCTGATCTTGGTTAGAAACTAAGTACTCCTCTTTCCCTCACTAGTGCTGCACTGCATGGTGGGGTTTGGACTTGTATTTTCATATTCAGGAAATGAGTATTTTATCTGGCAATGCTAGTTGGAACAAAGGCCCTCCACATCTAATAACAGTGCCATCAGAGATAACTTCAGTTTTTCAAAAGACCTAATAGAAGGTCTGTATTTACCACCATACGGCCAATGACAATGCAAACTTTCCACTACTCTCCCACGCAACCCCAAATTCAATGTCTTCTCTCATTTGTTATCTTATTCTGATTAGATAGTTGAGCAGCAACTATATGTGCCTCTGAAATGAAAAAGACAAACGATAACACAAGTTAATGACAAGTTAAACACAGTTTGTTTAGAGGGTAATTCTTTCAAAGATTAGAGTCAGTTGCAGGGGGACAAAGAGTGGGAACCACTGTACACTAGTGTTTTCATGGAGTTGCATCAAGGGCTGCCTGGAAGTGCTTGGAGGGGACAAATGGGGCCATCAGAAGGCTCTTTAAGATCCCGGGTCTGCTCCCACCTGAGTGGCTCTGCCCTGATCAATTTACACAATAGGATTCAGCCTAAGGTTTCATCTTAAGAAGATTGCCTACTGCTAAAATACCGTCTGAAACCATTGTTCTAAATTAGAAATGTGCTGTTCAAACAGTAGCCATTAGCCACTGGTGACTACTGAGCGCTTGTAATATAGCTAGTCCAAATTGAGTTGTCATGTAAATGTAAAATAAACACCGGATTTTGAGACTCAGTACAAAAAAAAAGTATAATAAATATCTCAATAATTTTATATTGATTAGATATATATAGATGATAATATTTTCCTATATTATTTATATATATGATTAAAATTAATTTTACCTATTTATTTTAAAAAATATGACTATTAAACAATTTAAAATTGTACATATGGCTTGGGTTATATTTCTATTGAACAGTGCTGATACACCGTACTGTGAGATACATAAAAGAAATTCCAGGACTGGTATGAAAAGCACATGCCCACTCCCAGGGTAGTTGATTGTCCACTAGTCTAAGCACTTTCCAGCAAAGAGTAATTTAACGTTTATTTAATGTTCAGAGAATCACCCTGAAACAATAAAACATTGTTATTGAGCACTCTCTCCAAGTTTTTCCCCGCCGTGGTATTAAGACAATTCTTTGGATTATGGTTGTAACCTGCCAGGGAAGGGGGAGGCCGTGGCGCGGGCAGAGTGTTTCAGAGAAACGCACAGGTGGCATCTCAGAGCCGGAAGAGGCTGCCCCGCTGCTGGGGATCAAGACGGTCCCTGCCCCGCGCAGCTGTCCGTTGGCTCCGCTCAGGAGCCAGGCAGTTAGCCGGATGGCCTGCAGGTTCCTCTAAGCCCGCAGCAATTTCCAATCTTCTTGGTTTTTTTTTCTTTCTTTTTTTTCCTTTTTTTTCTTGTAGCTTTTCCCACTCGTTTGCTTGCCGCTTCTCTTCTCGAGCCTTTTCTGATTCTGACAGAATTCATCGTCCTTCTGTTTTTGTTCACTTTTGTGGAAGCGTCTCTCTCTCTTGCCTCTCTCCAAATCTTCTAGCTCTTTGTTTTCTTTCCTCTGCTCTCTGCCTCACCTCAGCCTCTTTCCCTTGGCTCTTTTGTTCTCTCTGCTGTTCCAGCTCCAGAAG